AGGTGAGGTGGAAATGGGTAATGTCCATGAGGTTGTTCTAACTCATAAATAAACAAATGAAAGGATTTCGATCCTGAAACAGTAAATGTATAGTAAAAATCCCATGTCTAATTTCAGCCAAATCTACAAGTAATCCATCCATAACTAACAATATGACTCCCACAGGTAAGAAAAATTTCACTCTGGTAAGTTATTCTCTGTTAGAAAGAAATTATATTATTTATTAGGTATGCTACCTCACACAGTTATGTTTCTTTCGTATCTGTTTAAGGAACACCACCACCAAGCATCTAAGCACCTTTTGTATACCTTCATGGGTGTAAAGATTAAGATTGAATACTAGTACTGTGAGCTCGAACGTCAAATGTTGAAAATCTTCAGGGCTTAAGAGGGGGGCGGGGGTTGGCGCGAATATTTCACAAATCTCTTCCGAATACTGATTTTTATATCAAATAAAAGGGGGGGAATGGATCAAAAATGGCGGCAAAATTATTGGTGGGGCTATAGCCCCTCAGCCCCCCTAGACACGTGGTTTCTGTCAAATCTCTCACAATAACTGTTATGTAACAGTCTCCTCCTCTCTTTCCCAGAGGTACAGGAGACATGGAAAACATGTTACTGTAACAGCGGATGTGGGCAGATAAAGAAAACGTGCGAGACAAAGGGATCTTGTTTCATCCAATCACAATTCTCTATTGATTACGGATACACCTACACTACCCAAGTCTGCATACACCCAGGGAAGCAAAGGGACTTTATCTGCAACAACACTAAAAACTACATGTATGCAAAATGCTGTGACCAAAATTACTGCAATAAACACCTAGAAGGGATATCAAGAGCATCTACTACAACAGGTAGGACACAGAGTACTGCACAGCACCCCAAAAGTTAGTAGGGCTAAAGCAAGGCCACCATAGTAAGTTTAAGAAAACATCTATTCAGTCTAGCTGGAGGCAGATCCCCCCCTCGTATTGTCATGCAAGAGGAAAGACTATGGATTCACCTCCCCTACCAACTCTTATTGACGATAATGTCCAATGAAAAGTTAATACCTGAAATGGATATCCATCCAGCAGATCTCAAAAAGTGACGTAGCAACGATGTCAGTTGAATATGTCCGTAGCTCAGTTTTGCATTTGACGTAGAAGGGGAGGGGGGACCACTAGTTAGTATTTTCTCTGAGAAGAATTTGCTATGTCATATGCACTATCAACTTTTACTTATCTTTTAAAAACGTACCATTATGGCAACTAATGCATTACATAAAGAGATGCAAGACATATATAAAGTGATCCCCATTAGTGCTACTGAAGGCGAATGGAAACATCATCACCATCATGATCATCATGTCACCATTTTCATCATCATCATCACCACCATTTTCATCATCATCACCATTTTCATCATCATTTTCATTATTATCATCACCACCATCATCATCGCCATTTTCATCATCATCATCACCACCATTTTCATCATCATCATCATCATCACCATCACCACCATTTTCATCATCACCATTTTCATCATCATCATCACCACTATTTTCATCACCACCGTTTTCATCATCACCATTTTCATCATCATCATCATCATCAAGGTTTTTCTCACGTACATTTCTAACCCCAATGTGCCTTAACAAATAAATGGATGAAATAAGATGTACGGTATATCTGTGTTTTCCAGCCAAGCCCACGAGTATTCCAATCACAGCAGTTGCAAATGTCACATCAAYGGGTAGGTATAGCTTTTCTATTAATTTTTATCAGCTTATAACATTTYACAASYTTTTTAATCAYRAAATAYRAGGTGAGGTGGAMATGGGTAATGTCCATGAGGTTGTTCTACTTATAAATAAACAAATGAAAGCATTTCAATMCTGAAACAGTCAATGTATAGTAAAAATCCCATGTCTAATTTCAGCCAAATCTACAAGTAATCCATCCATAACTAACAATATGGCTCCCACAGGTAAGACAAATTTCACTCTGGTAAGTACTTATCCTCTGCTTGAAAGAAATTATATTATTTATTAGATATGCTACCTCACACAGTTATGCTTCTTTCGTATCTGTTAAGGAACACCACCACCAATCATCGTGGCAACTACAAACAACAGTTCTGCATCTACAGGACATGATGGGATATACATCATAACAATCAGAGCAGCTTTGGCTTCAGTACTGGCAATCACTTTCAAACATTAAGGAGTGTGCAGGACATGTTATGATAGAGTCATTGCTGCCAAGGCAMGCCCAGCGTGCAGTTTTTCATAACAATTACTCTGATTTCAAAATAATTGCACTAGTTTTAGGTATAAGAGTATCTTTACATGAATTTAAGTGCTTTTTTACCCAAAAACAAAAACTGTGTCAACCCTAACAGTATAAATACCGTAGGCCTAAAAAAGGTGAGACAATAGGATCAAAAGGAAATATCCCTTGTAGCCTGTCTTGTAATCTTGTTGCAGGTTAAGTTGCATGAACTAATTGCAAGGTGTAATATAATAATAGTGATGATGATGATGATGATGATGATGATAATAGAAATATATAAATGACGATAATGCAAAAAAAAAAAAAGATCATGGTAATGATGATAATAATAGTAATAATAGTAATGATGATGATAATGGTGATAATGAGAAGAAGTATCAAAAGAATAAAAAGTGGTTTCAACTTTCGAATTTCAGCTTCAAAAAACAATTTAATGTAACAATTTACAATTGTAAGCAAAATAAAATTAAAGCACTGATAAGCTAATATATAGTAGGTGTATAATTGCAAAAACATCAAAATGGGATTAGCAAAATAACAACATATCATGTACATTTTTCAAGCTAGTATGAAAGCTGTTCTGAATCACTTTTTTTATTTTAGACATACCTAATATAGATTATGGTTCAACTGGYGTATATGGACATGATTGTTTAATTGAGATTCTTCCCTCATAAAACTGACATTTTCATATAGCTTTACAGCTGTTTCCCTTGTTCTCGTGGAACCTATCCTCAACCATACGAAACTTTCCTCACTGTCTTTATGGTGTGATGACAATGGTGTAGTAATTGGGTGGCGCCGATGAAGATGATGACAATGCCAATGATGAAGATGGGTGTTGTTTATGATGAAGATGGGTGGTGTTCATGATGAAGATGGGTGGCGTTCATGATGAAGATGGGTGG